GGTAGAGGAGGGGAGGGTGGTGGCTGAGCCGGTGGTGCATGTTTAGATTGTTGTTGTAGCTGTGCAGTGGAAGTTATAGGAGAAGAAATAACCTTGGGTATGAGGAAGGCTGCTGCCTCTTTGAAGCCATTTTAAAAAGCACAATTGTCACTTCCCTTTCCCCTCCAGCCAAAAAGGGAGGAGGAAAAAAAGAAAAAAAGAATTTTTAAAAAGAGACAAACTATAATCATTAAAAGTCCAGAATAAATCCCAAGAATAAGTAGTAAAAGAGCAAACAATTCAAAAGAAAAAATTCTAAGCCAAAAGCAAAAGCAAAAGCAAAAAACAATCCTTAAAAAGGGAAAGTAAAACAAAAGAGAAAGGAAAAAAAAACTCCGACACTTTCAAAACGCCATCTTAAGTCCTTTCACTAGTATAACAAAGAAAAGGAGGAAAAATAGTAAAAATCAAAAGATAAAAAATAAACACCTAAAATATAACAAAAAATCCTTTAAACTGCTCCGTCCGTTTAAAAATTACTCACCAAAATGCTGTAAACACGGAGATAGAAGCGGCGGTTTCTTTTGCTTCGAAGGAAGCAAAAACAGCTGGGAGGCGGAGATCAGCAAGAGCTCCGAGGGAACACTCCTTTCACCCCCTCTAGAAATAAATCCAGAGGGGGTTTAGGGGTTCTACCTCTACTCTTGCGTTCTCTATCCCTTCCCTTTGCCCGGGAAGGGATTTCCGAGCCGCGGGCCAGCTAATGCGCGCTGCGCTCCGCGGCTCTGACACTTCCCCAGCTGGACGGCTAAAAGCTAGCCGCCATCGCCGTCGCCTCCCACCGGAAGCTCCCCATGATTTAGAATTTCTTAGCTTATTTCTTAGCTTATTTCTTCTTCCTTTCCTATAGAATAAGTATGCTGAATCCTTCTAAATCACCTCTTTTCTTCTTATTAACTTGCTTTTTTCAGTTCAGAAGGCAGCAATGAGAAACAAATCACATTCTGTGAGTAGAAATGGAGAATTTCTAAATTACTATCTAGTTATCTCTGATTAATAAGTAAACTCATTTTTGGTACTGCATGCATTTGGCACTGGGGGCAAAGTGTGTTTGTACCAGGGCAGTGTGTCTTTAGGCTAAGCAAAAGAATGGCAATAAGAGCTTTGTCCTCTCACAGGAACTAGAAACATATGCATCGGAGAAAGGAAGTTTATTGTGCATTTATTGATTTATATAAAGTTATAATAGAGGAAATTTTTCACCAGTTGGCATGATCTGACTTCTAGTCCTTTCTGATCCTTATATGGTCATTTTATAAGTTATCTTGCATTTTGTCAAGCAGTTCAGCCAAAGCTTTGCATTTTCAGAATGCAGGATTGATATTCTGGAAAGTGCTGTTTGAACTGCATCTCTCCTGAGAGCCAGTTTCATGTACAGCAGGGGTGGAGAACTATGGCCCCTTTATGACCTGTGGACTTCAACTACCAGAATTGATGATGATGATGATGATGGAAGGGATCTTGGAGGTCATCTAGTCCAACCCAATCCTGCTCAGGCAGAAAACCCTATACCATTTCAGACAAATGGCTGTCCAGTCTCTTCTTAAAAACTTCCAGTGTTGGAGCATTCACAGCTTCTGGAGGCAGGTTGTTCTACTGATTAATTGTTCAACTGTCAGTAAATTTCTCCTTAGTTCTAGGTTGGTTCTCTGATTAGTTTCCACCCATTGCTTTTTGTCCTGCCTTCAGGTGCATTGGAGAATAGCTTGACTCCCTCTTCTTTGGGGCAGCCCCTGAGATATTGGAAGGCTGCTATCATGTCCCCCCTCGTCCTTCTCTTCATTAAACTAGACATACCCAATTCCAGCAACTGTTCCTTATATGTTTTAGCTTCCAGTCCCCTAATCATCTTTCTTACTCTTCTCTGTACTCTTTCTAGAGTCTCAACATCTTTTTTACATCATGGTGACCAAAACTGGATGCAGTATTCCAAGTGTGGCCTTACCAAGGCATTGTAAAGTGGTATTAACACTTCACTAATCCTGATTCTATCACTCTGTTAATGCAGCCCAGCACTGTTGGCCTTTTTGGCAGCTGCAACACACTGCTGGCTCATACTTAAGTGATTGTCCACTAGGACTCCGAGATCCCTCTCACAGTTACTACTATTGAGCAAGGTATCACCTATACTATACCTGTGCATTTGGTTTTTCTTGCCTAAATGTAGAGCCTTATTTCACCATTTAATTTCATTTTGTTAGATAGCATCCAATGTTCAAGTCTGTCAAGATCCTTCTGTATCTTAAGCCTATTTTCTGGAGTGTTGGCTATTCCTGCCAGCTTGGTGTCATCTGCAAATTTGATGAGTTCCCCATCTATCCCCTCTTCCAAATCATTGATGAAGATGTTGAAGAGCACTGGGCACAGAACAGAGCCCTGGGGCACCCCACTACACACTTCCCTCCATGTAGATGCAGTTCCATTGAGGACTACATGCTGAATACCACATGCCGGTCAGCCAGCTACAAATCCATCTGGTGGTGATGCTTTCTAACCCACATTTTTCTATCTTATCAAGTAGTAGGTTGTGGTCTACTTTATCAAATGCCTTACTGAAGTCCAAGTAAATTATATCCACAGCATTCCTCTGATCCACTAATTTTGTCACTTGGTCAAAGAATGCAATAAGATTTAATAATAATGATGATGATGATGATGATGATAAAGTTGGAAGGGACCTTGGAGGTCATCTAGTCCAACCCCCTGCTCAGGCAGGAAACCCTATACCAGTTTCTTCTTAAAAACTTCCAGGTTGGAGGATTCACCGCTTCTGGAGGCAGGTTGTTCCACTGGCTAATTGCTCTAACTGTCAGGAAGTTTCTCCTTAGTTCTAGGTTGCTTCTCTCTTTGGTTAGTTTCCACCCGTTGCTTCTTGTCCTGCCTTCAGGCGCTTTGGAAAATAGCTTGACTCCCTCTTCTTTGTGGCAGCCCCTGAGATATTGGAACCCTACTATCCTGTCCCCCCTCATCCTTCTCTTTGTTAAACTAGACATACCCAATTCCAGCAACCATTCCTTATATGTTTTAGCTTCCAGTCCCCTAATCATCTTTGTTGCTCTTCTCTGTACTCTTTCTAGAGTCTCAACATCTTTTTTACATCGTGGTGACCAAAACTGGATGCAGTATTCCAAGGGTGGCCTTACCAAGGCATTGTAAAGTGGTATTAATACTTAACGTGATCTTGATTCTATCCCTCTGTTAATGCAGCCTAGCACTGTGATGGCTTTTTTGGCAGCTGCAGCACACTGCTGGCTCATATTTAGGTGATTGTCCGCTAGGACTCCGAGGTCCCTCTCACAGTTACTACTATTGAGCAAGGTACCCCCTATACTATACCTGTGCATTTGGTTTTTCTTGCCTAAATGTAGAACCTTACTTTTTTCACCATTGAATTTCATTTTATTAGTTAGTGCCCAGTGTTCAAGTCTGTCCAGATCCTCCTGTATCCTAAGCCTGTCTTCTGGAGTGTTGGCTATTCCTGCCAGCTTAGTGTCGTCTGCAAATTTGATGAGTTCCCCATCTATCCCCTCGTCCAAATCGTTGATGAAGATGTTGAAGAGCACTGGGCCCAGAACAGAGCCCTGGGGCACCCCACTACACACTTCCCTCCATGTAGATGCAATTCCATTGAGGACCACACGCTGAGTACGGCTGGTCAGCCAGCTACGGATCCATCTGGTGGTGATGCTGTCTAACCCGCATTTGTCTGGCATGATCTGTTTTTGACAAACCCATGTTGACTTTTGGTAATGATTTTGTTTGCCTTTAGGTGTTTGCTGATTCGTTGCTTGGTTATCTTTTCCAGAATCTTCCCAGGTATTGAGGTCAGGCAGATAGGTCTGTAGTTTCCTGGATCCATTTTTTTCCTTTTTTGAAGATGGGAACTACATTAGCTGTTTTCCAGACCTCTGGTAGTTCCCCAGTGCTCCAGGATCTTTGAAAGATATACTTCAGTGGTTCTGAGATCAAGTCTGCCAGTTCCTTCAGAACCTTGGGGTGTAGTCCATCTGGTCCTGGTGATTTGAACTCGTCTAGGCTGGACAGTTGCTCACTTACCATTTCCTTGCCTATCTTAACGTGTTTCTAATCTGTTTTTTACAGTACTGTTTTTGAAAGGTTGGACTATTTTTCTCTTTTGTGTAAAGACGGATGCAAAAAACGAGTTAAATAGTTCTGCTTTCTCCCTGTTGCTTGTCACCTTTCCACTTTCTCCCACTAATGGACCAATCATTTCCTTAACTTTTTTACTTTACTTTAACTTTCTTGTTTTTTTAAATATTGAAAGAAGCTTTTTTGTTATTTTTTTACTTTTTATTGCAAGTCTTAGTTCATTTTGAGCCTTAGCTTTCCTCTCTTCATCTTTGCAGGCTCGGGCTATTTGCTGATATTCTGCCTTAATTATGTGCCCCTCTTTCCACTTTTTATATTTGTCCTTTCAATGCTGGGAGTTGAAGTCTACACATTATAAAAGGGCCATAGTTCCCCACCCTGGTGTACAATAATGATTAAGGCATCCAGCTAGAAACTGAGAGAATAGTCTCACTTCAGGCACAAAGCCAGCTGGTGGTCACTTTCTGTCAGCCCTAGGAAGGAGGAAATGGCAAACCGCTTCTGAAAAATCCTGCCAAGAAAACTGCAAGAACCTGTCAGGCAGTCTCGGAGAACTGGACATTATTAAATATGTGTGTATGTGTGTGTGTGTTTGTGTGTGTGTATGTATGTATATGTATATATAATGGTCTTGTCAATATTTTTTCTGAGCTAGTAAAAAATACATTAGAACCTACTTCTGTTTCTCTTCTGTTCATGTGGATGGGTTGAGTGCGTCGCTCTTATTTTTTTTTTTTAACTAGTTCAGGCATTGGCTTTAAAGATTAAACAATATACCACTATTGCATATAGATTCCATCTGGGTGGGGGACTAGTTGATAGCTTACTAATAATTGCTAATTTTCTTTCAGTGAAACGCTTCAGAGAACCAAAGCATGAAAGACGTCCTTGGAGAATTTGGTAAATGTCTACTGTTTTTGCAGGCTGAGAGTGATTAATTATAAAAGATGTAATATGACAATGATTTCTATAAATATTATCTCTTCACTCTATCTTTTGTAAAAGAGAAAATCTTGCCAAATGTAGGAATAGCCAGTTATAGTTCTCTATAAGTAATAGAAACTTAATATTATGTTATTGGCAACATGGATTCCAGTTTTTGTTCAGTCATCTATTTGCAAAAATATTTTTTAATTGTCTTGCTTCCAAAAGGCAATTTTAAAAGTGTCATTACTTTCCATATTACAGTAATTTCTAAATCTAAAGTATATACATTTAATAAATAAATAAAGCTTCACACTTTTTCCTAGCTGCAATTCTTTCAACAAGCTTATGAAGCATGAGATCCAAGGGAACTTCCATACAGGTAGTCCTCATTTAACCAGCACTCGTTCAGTGACCATTCAAAATCAGGAGAGCACTAAATGAAGGGATTTGCAATGTATGCCTGAAGTTACATGATATATTGAACTGCCCTCAGAATCACCTGATTGTGATCTGAGCAAAATTCTTTTGCATGTATGACTGGTTGCCGAGTGTCCAACTATCATGTGATGGCTTTTTACCGTCTTCCCTGCCAGCTTTCCCAAAAAGTCAGTGGAGAAGCCAGAAGGAAAGGTCACAAGTTGCTACCACTGAAAGAACTCCCTCTGGTTTCTGGGGACTGGCTGTAAAAGATCCCTCCTGAAGTCCAAGCAGAATCTTGGCACAGAGCGTTTGCAGTATGGGGTGTTTGCAGCCACCCCCAAAAATCAGAGGGGCTTCTCTCTCTCTCTGGGGGCTGGCTGAAAATGCTCTGCTTGGATTTCAGAACAAACCTTTTTCAGCCAGTCTCTTTAAAGGCAAAAGGGCTGCCTCCCAAAGGATTATGGTCCTCTGTGGGGCCGAGTCCCTTCAGCAGGCAGCACTTAATGAGCTAGCAGATTGCTTAATGACTGCAACCAAGAAGTTTAAACAAAGCAGTCCTGACGTCTCACTTAATGATTGCTTCATTCAGTAATTAAAGATTCTGGTCTCAGTTGTGAATGTAAATTGAGAACTACCTGTCTGGTACACTTATTATTTGTCCCATGTTCAGTGCATTTGTTGAAAACAGGTTTTGGTCTAACCCATTTAAATTTGGCCCCTCTGTTCTAGAATAATGAGAAGTATATTTTATTCAAATGCTTGATTACCTGTCAATTGCTGTTGTGATCTAATGATGCTAGTCCTTTCACTCAAGAAATTTGCAAGATTTCAAAAGAGAATACTATTTAAAGAGAAATTTGACTAGATTTCAAAAGCCATTAAATACTTTGCAGTCTTTAATATCAGTATTTTGCTCTCTCATAGCTAAACCTGAAACTCCATAACTCTTCTTGCCCCATATTCTAGAATAAAACTATAATATCAACCATGTTTGTGGATGAGGGGGCGATTCTAGAAATATAAATTATAACTATATAGATTAAAATATGCAATTATTCAATTTGATGTCTAAAAACTTAATTTTTGTAGGTTTTTGGATACTTCCAAACAAGCCATAGGGATGATGTTCATCCATTTTGCCAATGTATATTTATCAGATCTTACTGAAGAGGATCCCTGTTCACTGTAAGTGAAGAACAATCTTACTGAAGTTCAGCTAACAAGTATACCAAGATATGCACCAAGTTTTATTTTTCAAAATTAACATATTGTTACCATAGAAGTACTGCCTAGACCTGATATGACCAAAAATACGTCCTCTTGAGTGCTGAAGACAATAATCAGTGATACTATGTCACTTGAATTCTTTAATCCTCCTATTCTTTAATCCTTCAATTTTCCAAAGGTGGAAAATTAGCTTGTGCTTTCTGGAAAGATTTTCAGGACTTCCTGTCCCCTGCTGTTATACATTTTTCTTTGTTAACCCAGATCCAACTTTTCCTTCATCTCTCTGGGTGATGTTTTGGGCTACAGCTGCACTGCACTGTTGAATTTAAGGGTCTCCAGGCTCTGAAATATAGCAAATAGCCAATACTTGTCATGGTAGTTGGCAATTTTTAGCTAACTGTAGCTAATTTTATTAAAACTAAAGTTGAACAAGGTTAGACCTGATTGGTTCTTTGATGGGGTGCATAAAACATCCCAAGATTTGTAGGCTAGATTGGAAAATCCCAAAAAATAAAGTGAAGTTAGTGGCAACCTGTTTCCATATTTTTTGCTAGGATAAAATCACCCAGACTCTAGAGCTTTTATCATTTATATTTAGTCTAGCCTTCAAATCAAGTTGATAAGTAGGTACAGAATATCTACAGAAAAGCATCAAGCTATTCCTTTGATGCTGTAATTGATGAATACATTAAAATTAAAACAATATACTACATTCCATTGTCAAGTGACATGCACAGTACCACAAAAACTGACTAACATGCAGTCAACTGCAGAAATTGTCCACTTTTATATTAGCTGAAGCAACAGTGACCTCTGCTGGCCTTTACATGTAATAATTGCTCAAATTACTCTAGCTATGTACTCAGTTTTGTTTATAGGCTTTCATACCCTAGTAACAAGGTGGTGAGTGTTTTTTTTTAAGTAAAATATTGCATTTTTCTTTTGTGCTATATTTTATGTATTTGAGCATTTGCAAATTAATTGAACAGGAATTTTGGTTGTGGTATTTTTAAACTGCTGTTTCTCCAAAGAGCAAAGGGTGGTGCACAGTTTCCTCGCCAATTTTTATTCATGCAATTGCTCCACGTGGTAGGTTATCTAATCAGCTTTATGGCTGAGCAGGGTTCTGAATCTAGGTTGTACTGACCCTATTGCAACATGCTAATGATTATGTCACATTTTTCTCTCTGTGTGTCCATGCTATGCTAAAAACTGTATTTAAAAATATTATTGCCTTTGCTTTAAATGAGACAGAGAATAATATTTGTTTGTATATTAGGAACTACAGTTTTTATATTAAAAGAAAAATGCTCAGATTAACTTACTTTTACAATGAGGCCGTTTCCATCTCTTTTATTTTGCTGTCTCAGTTTTATAACTTTATGGAGTATATATTAAAAATCCTTAGTAGCTGATCCCACTAACAGAGCTGTTCGAATGACCTGAAAGAATAATATGCTGTAGGTTACATCCTAGTTCTACAGTATACTAAAATTGAGGTTCTTTACCTATATACATAGAAATGCCATTATTATTATTATTATTATTATTATTATTATTATTATTATTGAGATTTTTTTTTATTGCTGAGACTGGGAAATGGGAGTATATTTTCAGAAGCTGAAAATGTTGATCGATAAAAATTTCAATCAAAGCTACACAATTTTAAGAAAAATCAGTCTTTAAATTTGTGTATGCTTTTCTCACCCTTTCAGATACCTTATCAATTTTCTGCTAGATGCCACCTTAGGAATGCTGGTAATTTACGCTGGTGTCCGAGCAGTAAGCAGTGTTGTTGAACGGCAGCAGTGGGAATCTCTTCGTTTTGGTGAATATGGTAAAAAGCATATATTATTCTTTGAAATAATTATTTAGGTGACATTTAGGTTTCAAATAGTTCTGTTGTTGGTATTTTGAGCGAAAGGTGTTTGAGCACTATAAATGGCCAAATCTTAAAATATATGAAATTCCAAACATTTTATTTAACAGTTTTTTCTGCTTTGTCTAAGTCTGATGAGCCAGTGCAATTTATTTTTGTTTTAATTTCTACTTTTTAAACTTGAGGACTTTATTAGATACTTCCTTCTTTTTCTTCTCCATTCTCTGATGACTACTGATAGCAAGAATAATAATACCATCACTATATGTGGTATAAGAGAGAACAAATTTCAAGGTGTTATGAACATCCATATTTTAATATTTAACCAGAAATCTAAATTGAATTCTTTATTAACCATTTCCAAAATACTCTTGCAAGTCACCAAGTTCTCCAGCACTGGAGATGGAGAATCCACCAATGGGTTTAGACTGTATTCCTGCCCAATCAGATCAAGTCAGCCAAAGTTGCCATGCCCATCCTGGACCAAAGAGATCCCAGTCTTGACTTGATCTCGCCCAGGACAGACGTGCAAGTGTGGCTCTTAGGCAGGTACAGTCTCCATACCTTCCTTGGCGCAGGGGAGCGCTTGGTTTGCATCAGAGCCTCTCCCAGAGTCTCTAGGGCAGCGGCAGGCCCTATCGCCTTCTTCACGCACGGCCGCCATCTTGGGCTGAGTGTTTGCAAACTCCGGCCGATTCCACTCCATTGCACAGCGGTAATACTGGAGGAAGGGGATCCTTCCTCCTCATTGATTTCTCAGAGCAAAGGGGGGTTTTCTCCTATAAGGGAAACTGCATTAGGACAGGTAGTTGGGGGGAGCAAATCTTCAGCTCCCCGTCGTTCATCAGGCGGCCATTTTGGGGGTGGACGCCATTTTGTTTACAGATAGGCCCACTATTATTCTGAGGCCTAAACACCCCAGGTGTATCTGACCCCTTTTTAGAGCACAATTAGTGATCTTATCTTCACTCCACCTGTGCTCCATTTAGACACTCTCTGTTATATCTTATTATTATTTGTCCTTGCGAACTTGGTGTCTCCCGGCCTCACCTGACTCATTTTTTAATCAGGTGGTTCTGATTTACCAAATTATCAACAGGATTTTTTTCTGGATTCCAGAAGTACCTGGTAGTGCATCTGTTCTTATCCATAACAGTCCCATCTGGATTCCAGGCGTACTCTGTAGTGCGTCTGTTCTTATCCATAACAGTTCCATCGGGACTCCAGGCGTGCCCTGTAGTGCGTCTGTTCTTATCCACACGACAGCCTAGCTGGGTTCCAAGCGTACCTTCTCGTGCGCCTGTTCTTACCCACGCAACAGTTTTCTACCTGGATTCCAGGCGTCCCCTATAGTGCGCCTGTCCTTATCCAGTGTACACACACTCTGATACCAGGGGTCCCCTATCGTGCTCCTGTGTTATCAGAGGATGGAGGATTCCATACCCTCCACAAGGGGCGTCTTTGCTGTCTTCATTGGCTCCAATATACCCAAATTCATCTAATCTGGAGGGCGCTGACAAGGCTGTGGCCAAAAAAACCTAAATCAATCTAGCGCCAAGACCTCCAGGAGAGTGAAAAGCAGGCAGCCGGAGACACCAAGGTCTAGAAAAATAATTTGTCAAGGGCACAGAAATTAACCAGGTTAGAGACAGACTGAGGGATTGAACTTTGACCTATCCCTGGGGTCCCCAGCATTCCCCCTGGTATATGGTCAACGGGGAATCTTTCATTCCCCTGAACAGCGTGAAGCGGGCAAAATTTCCCCCCTCCTCAACCCTTTACTGCACGGGCTCATCACGGGACTCCCAAGACTACCTTCACCCCTACTGCGGCAGGGCCTCGATCTAGTGAGCCTGTTCCCCTTATCTACGGAGAACCATCTAGCCTTGCTGATTGCGTAAGCAGTAGACCATGCCCTTGAGACCAGGGCACAAGGCCCCAGGCCAGTGGATACCACTCACTGTCTCGAACATGACACTGAGCAGGGGATTCCAATGTATAAGGGGAAGGAACCTCCTTCTGAAGCTCTTTCATTCAACGGTTTCTTTAACACTTCATTCTTTGTTCCCTTGCTATGCATGCCACATCCTCAGCGCATCTTGGGCATGATCCTTCCTCAACAACAACCACCGTTCTTCCCAGACTCAGAGGTGGACCCAAATTTCACCGAACCGGTGGCAACTCAACACCGCATCCATTGTTCCCCTTTGTTCCTGAATGCGGTCCAAAAACAGGGGACATCACCATCTTCCCTTCCCCTTCCAGGTAATAGGGGGGAAAAGCTGGAGGCCCTGGAAGGGCCTGCAGTGGACGAACCATTTGGTCCCTTGTACTCCCACTGCCATTTCCAGAGATGTCTCTGAGGCTCTTAAAGCCGAGGACCGTCTGTGAGAATTCGCCCATCGCAGGACGCATCAAGCGGCTGCATAGGTTATTAGGACAGCCACCTCCGCTTCCTTCTTCAACAGATCCACACTTCTCTGACTCAGGCAGTTTCAGGCCATATTCCAGGGGAGGATATCCGCATACAGCAGGATCTTAGCATGATGGTGGCAGCCACCGAGTATGCATCAGATGCCCCTCTCTAAGCCACCTGAGTTTTCCTCCAGGACCATGGCGTCCAACATCATGGGTCACCATAGGCTGTGGTTGTAGCACTGGCGCGCCGATTCCAAGTCTAGATGGCATCTATCGGCGGATCCATATCAGGGAGGAACAATTGGTTAGAGATGCGTTGAATCCTTATCTCATCGAGAACAAGGTTAAGCGCAGGGCCTTTAATCATCCCTTTAAAAAACCAGACAAACGGTTCAATTATTACCCACGTAGACAATCACTCGTGTGGGGGCTAGGTATAACTACTCTCAACCATCCGGTCCTTTCTGGTCAGGCAGGACAGGCAGAATGGACAGCCTGACTGATAAGCAGTCAGGCCTCGACAACAATTTCAGGGCAAGCAGCCTTTCGTGGGAACGGCCGACAGTTCTGCAGTTTCAGACGACTCCACTGTGGTCCCTCCCATAGGCTGCTGACTCTCTTTGCCCACCAGGGGAGGCCATCACCACAGACGCGTGGGTACTAAACACTGTACATCACGGCCTGGTCCTAGAGTTCATTTCCAACTCTCCAAATCAATTTCTGATTTGCCCCTACCCACGAAACCAAACAAATAAAAAATCTAATGAATGGAGCCGTTCATCATCTATTATACATACAGCCCATAGAACCAGTACCGGTGGAACAGAGAGGTTGGAGGCTTTTTATTCCATTCTCTTTATCGTCCTAAAGGCATCAAGGGGATTGAGAGCCACTTTAGATCTCAAGTGCTTGATTTTTCATCTGGCATATTTCAAATTCAGATGCAAACGCCCCGTTCCATCTAGGGAAATGTAAGAAAAGGGGATTTCCTGACATCTCTCGACCTCACGGAAGTGTTCCTTCATATCCCCATCTCTCTGGCTCACCTCAAGTTTTTTACGGTTCGCGTAAAAGGGGCGCCACTTTCAGTACAGGGCACTTCCATTTGGACTATTATCGGCTCCCAGGGTATTTACTAAGATCCTGGCAGTTCTGACAGCTCACTTAAAGACAGTACCAGTTAGATTCCAATATTACCTAGATGACATATTAATCCAGTCGTCCACCCAGACCACCATGAGGGGCTTCGAACTGGTGGTAAAGCTGCTCCAGGACCACAGTTTCTCAGAAATCTTGCCCAGGAGTCATATGGTTCCCACAACCAGACTATTGCACCTCCGGGCCATCATAGTCACGGTGGAGTTCAGGGTGTATGTATCCCAAGAACGCTGGGACAGCAGAGGAGAGTCAGTCCTTCAATTACACAGGAGTCGGACTGTAACGTTGGTCAGTTTTTCTTCCCAATTATTAGGGAAAATGATCTCGGCCATAGAAATCATCCCGTGGTCGAGGCTCCACTCCACGTAACTGCAGTGATTCATGCTCCCTTTCCAGAGGCAAAATCTCAGTGCCTCCCAATGAAGGGTAAGACTCCCACAACAGGTATTGCGCTCCCTTATGTGGTGGCCATTTTCCGCCATGCTCTGAGGTTCACGCTTCAAGGAGCCAGATTGGATAGTACCAATGACAGACGCCAGCCTGTTGGCTGGGGAAGCACACCTTTGCTCGCAGTGGGCTCAGGGCCATTGGTTCCACTCAGTCCTTCAGCACCACATAAATTGGTAGAGCTACGGGCCAGACATGGTCCTCGCCACTCTCACAGCCACTCTCACTCTCTTACAAGGTGTCACGTACTGGTCCTCACAGACAACATGGCTACCAAGGCCCAGGTAAACCACAAAGGGGCTCCCGATCTCGGACTTTATTGACTGAGTTGCTCTTACTGGAATCTTGAGCAGAACACAATCTGTCCTCAATCAAGGCCAAGTATCCTTCAGGGGAGGCAAACACTCAGGTCGACCTTTAGAGCAGGACTACGGTAGATCACTCAGAATGGCGCCTCCAACCGAGGGTCTTCAGAGAAATTTGTCACCGTTTGGCCTGCCACCTTTGGACCTCTTCGCGTTCCCATCTCCAGGGGCGGAACTGAGAGTTGCTCTTCGGAGCCCATGGCCGCAGGAACTCCTTTATGCCTTCCCTCCTCTTTCGGTCCTCCCGGCGGTAATACACAAGCTCCTTCGGGAGCGAGTGGAGATACCACTGGTGTCCCATTATTGGTCAGGGAGGCTTTGGTCCGCCGATCTGAGGAGCCTCTCCCTTGCAGACCCTAGGTGGATCTCTCTGGAACGGGTCTCCCTCAGTCAAGAGTCTATTCTCCATCCAGACCCCATTGCACAGGCAGATAGTGGCTTTTTTCACAGTTCTTATTTATGACTCCGCAGGGTCATTGGGACATCATCCCTTACTCCGCTCATTCCTTACGGGGGACGCTAACACCAGACCCCCCACTGTGCACAGGTTCCCTTTAAGGGAGTAACTCA